GATCGTATTTGGAGGAGCAAGTTTTAGAGATTAGGCTTTCTTTCTGGATCTGTGGCTCCCACTTGGAAAGAAACAAACATCCTCAATTCACATGGCATAGTTTTTACTTCTGGTTTCAGTTACAGCTCATTCACTTGAGGGGAAAGGGTGTGATGGCATCCACGAGTGATGACAGCCAGTGATCTACCCCAGCTGGATACAGTACAGGACAACAAAGGTGACTTTGGGTCAGCAGAGTGAGGTGGTGATTAGTGAGGTAAGTCAGAGCAAGGCAGTGGGCTACTTGGGGAGCCTTGCATCATGGTCAGCATGATTACCCTGTTGTCTTTCCTAGCCAAGATAAATCCTAAACTGAGGCAGATGGGAGACCAGTAACACAGTACATTTAAGTACAGCTCAAGTGGATGATTGCATTTCAAAGACATGATCAGTTTAGTTTAGGCTGCTTTGCTTACGATGCACTATTTTCTTGTAAGAAATCAAACTTAGTGTTTCCCCACCACTCATCATGGTGATCCTTTGCTGTTTGTGAACAGTAACTATAACAATTATTAGCCACAGCGAAAAGAGAACAGACTTGAGGCAAGGAGAAAGGGTGATGTCAAAATCCAAATTTGTCCAGATCACAAATAAAGTTGATAAGCAGAGGAAGAAAACATTTTGATATAACATGTTTCACAAGGTTTTCACTACTAGAATTGATTAGAGTATTTCCTTTGTCTCCTCAGGGTTTTTCTGGTGAGCCCTTACCTACAGAGACATTTAAGGACAGAGAGTTTCCATAGTTGCTCACTGGGAATTCGCAGTTTCCTCTAGAAACACCTTTTTCTAACTGAATTAGCTCAGAAAGGACTTTGTTGGTAGGAGCCACCCACATAAGGATATTGGGTGCTTTGATATTAAAAGAATGCAGAATTTCGGACTATAATCAATTTCAAAGCATCCCTAATGAAAATCCAATCAAAACCTAATCCATAGATGCAATTTTAAAAGTGGATGGGATGGAGAAAGTCCTAAGCAAGCAGAATCATCTCTTTGCATTTGCTGCTCCCCAGAGTTATCCTCCCCTTGCACAATGGGCTGTAGCACTTGTTCTGCCCCATAGCCAGCAGAGGGTTTCTGTGACAGTGTTTCCAGCCATATCCAACCCCAACAGCACCACAGGTCCCCAAAGGGCAGCCTATCCTGCATGTTTGCTCAGCCTATTTTAACAGCTGGAGAATTTCACCTATTTTCCAACTGAATTCAGTCTCTAACTGCAGGAATCATGCCAGCTCAACATTTCAGCCTGTTTTATAGACAGTTCTTCATACTGAAAAGAGAAGACAAGTGGAAAAGCAGCTGGACAAACAGCAGTCCTTCGGGATAATGAACGAGGTAAAACCCAGTGGGTTTGACTATAACTAATTGCATCCCTTGCCAGCAAAAGCTCAGGAAAGCCTGTTGTCCCACGTGTGTGCACCTACCGTGCTTCTGCATCACTAATTTCGACTTTCCTTTTCAAATCACTGTCTCCTGTGTCAACCTCAGTCTGCTGCTGTTATTACTGATGCTGAAGGAATTCAATAGCCATTAACTGCTAAACCTAGACTAGAAGGAGCCAACTGTTACTAATTCAGCCATTTCAAAAAAAGACAAACAGCACCAGCAGGCTGACAGATTTTAAGGGTTGTTTCATGTGTTCCACAGCAAAGAACAAAGTATCTTGCCTGACAATTTGTCATGTGTGGTTTTCATTAAATAATGATCACAAAGCCATTTATTTAGCATTCAGCACAAACAGATATCTGAACCACACACTCAAGCAGCTCCTCTGTAGGTCAAATCAAGACTTCATTGTTCGAGGTAGGAAGAGGCACCCAGTGTCCCTCTTCTTTACAGAGTTCATAATTTCACTTTTTCCATCTTATCTCTTTGACCTAAAGGGCTTTTTTTTTTTTTTTCTCCTCCTAGCACTTTCATAGGGAACACAAATAGGAATAGAAGGGAGTCATGGCTTGTCTCAGCAAACTTTCAGTGTAAATATCCAACGCAAAATACCAGCAAGCACTTCACACCCTGTGATCTGAAGCACAGAATGTTTGCTGGTTTACTCAAGATGAGCTTGACTGAAACAGTGGCTGCACTGGAAAGCAGACTTTAGACCATCCAGTTTTCAGAGATGTTTTTACTAATCTCTGCAAAGAGGCTTGCTAGATTAAGCAAACACCTGTTGATCATCCAATATTGGCTTCTGCTTGGAGATAATCATTGAGCTAAAAAATGTCAAGAAAGGGTCTTGTCAGAGGACTACTATAAAAATTAACATTCACCCAGAACTAAGATTAGTTCATGGCTGTGAATATATAGCCCCGAAAATACATTAAAATCCAGCAATGACAATGAAAGTAATGCTTGGCTCTCTTGATAGTAGAGAACATGCCCAGTCTAATTTGGACCCATTATGTCAATTCTGCATGACTTTTGGATGCTTGATCCAGCAAGCATCACAAGACTTTTACTGACAGTTCTCTCCAAAATCTACCAAGCTGTTTAGCTGGTGAGCTGATTATCACATAATTGGGATTTGTATTTATTTTATGTTCTTTCATTTTTCACTATCGATCACTATGCCACACCACTAGGTTGTAATTAGCAGTCAATAAAGCTCCTCTTCCAGTTGGGAAGCCTTCAGCAGTAGATCACACTGTAGAGGAGAGGATAAGCCCTCAATGCTACAAGAAAAGGCAGGTTGTACGGACTCCAGAGATACTTAAAGGTGTACAAAAGTAACTCCAGCAAAGGAGTTACTACAATAAAATACCACTTCTTCAACAAGAGGCGCGTTTGCAAACATCAGCAAAAGAGGTGAGTCTCAAACCACAGCTTTGGCTTATGACCTTGTAAAACGTTCCACATACTGCCATTGCTTCCTTTCAAGTTTTTAAGTGTACACAGAATAAACATTGAAAGGAATCAGTTCAAGTTTGACCAGAGAACATTAGGCCAACTGCAGGACTCCGTGCCACCCCAAAAGCACATCACTGTTTGAAGACTGAGTCCTTACATGAAGATTTGCTAGCAATTAAAAGAAACAAGGCTTTGGGGTTGCTAGTAGGCTAGTCTCCAAATAGTCACCTACAGATTAGGAAAGCACTAGAAAAAGAGATTTAGGCTTCTAGAAACCTCAAAATAAATATTCAAGAAAATAAAGTTAGCAGTTTCTGCTATTTTAACAGTTCAGCTTGTTCAGTCATGTTAGCGCATTAGAATTCCACCTCCAGAAGTGATGCAAGGAGCACTTTAAAATGCATTTATAATGGCACTCAGCAGGGATGAAGAGTACCTGCCCAGCTTTGATCCTTTTGGAAACCAGGCTGAGAAACCCATGGATGTTTCAGCGGGCAGTCTCCATCCTCCTTGATTAACTCGATCAAAGAGCCCTGCCCCATTCGTTATCAATTACACACTGACAGGTCCAGCATCAGGGGAGCAAAAACGACTACCAATTAAATGCACATAGTATTGATTTTTGAGTGTTACCCGACATAGAAACCTCAGCCTTGCTATAAGGAACAACCTAAGAGCTGTGGGGAAGTAGCTCTCTCTGAGTTGGGTGCTCTTCACAAGCTCAAATGAGGTTGCATTTGGCAATGGGGGGAATGCTCAAGAAGAAAGACATTGTCTTTCAGCACAGGCTGTATCACAGTGTCCAACACAGCAGAAGCCACCGAATCCCACACATTTCTAAATGTTCCAGATTACAACATGTGCAGAGACTGAAAAGGACCAGGCCAGAGCAGCAGATGATGTGTTCCCCATCTCCTCACACTTACAGAAGCTCTTGGCTAAGTGTTACCTAAATGACAAACAAGCTTCATACCACAACTTCTACATATTCCTTTTTACCACTAGTCATAAAAGTGGCCTAAAAATAGCAAGAAAATATTAAAAATGGCCATATGACACACCAATTCCCCTCCTCTCTCTGACACAGAGTCAACTCCCTATTATGTGTCAAAGGCACAACATGATAAAGCCCAAAGAAGCCTTTCCAGGAAACAAAAAAAGTGCATTTTAAAATGCCTTTTGTTGTCATTGTTGTTATTTTTTTCAAGAAGTACTTACTGGCAGCTTTTTATATCAATACAGAAGCTCTGTTATAATCTTCAGTAAAAAGCCAAATAATATTATTAAACTCTAAACTGTAGCATATGACAGCCATGTAATTGCCAGGAGAGATTTACCCCAGTTGGCTAAACTGAAGTCAAACTTCTAAATATAATTATGTGCGCATTCACCATCTTCTGATTTCATTTTAATGCCAACGTGTAAATTTGCGATGCCTTGGATGGCAAGAAGTGGAATAACACCACAAACTCCACAGTACTTTGACTTCAGGTATTTTGTAAGAAGAAATTGCTTAAACAGTCACACATACACTGGAGTTTGGGATTAAGAGCACAAAGCATCAAGGAAATAAAATGACTCTACAGCCCTGAACCTGAAAGCTACTCTAGTAGGGAGATTGGATGCCGAGAAGGCACCTTCAAGAGCATCTTTGAGAGCAGTTCCACAAGGTGAGAGCTGGATGGGTCAGACATGGAATGATGCAACCCATTGTTATTTCCACTTAGCATTAAAAAAAACCAAACAAACAAACAAAAAAACAAACAAAAAAAAACCCTCCATAAAACTGTACGCTTGCCTTTCAACAGCAACTGTATCTACAAGCTTTATTTTTAAGCTGGACATATTGCAGACCGTCACTTCAAACTGTGCTTTCTTTGAACCCTTATACACAATCCATGTGTGCACAAGACTTCAGTCTTTCCAAGTTTACCAATAATCTTTCCTAAGGTTAACTTTTTACATTAGGACATGAGTAATGGTTTATTTATTTATTTATTTTTATTTCTGGAAACTCTTTTCATTCTACATTGGATATCAAAGAAGAGCACAGTCCTTTCCCACTATGTTCAGGCCTAGAAAAAGAGGTAATGAGATTTTTTTATTGTTACGAACAGTGCTTATTAGTGTTTTTTTCTTAACCAGTCTAAGTTACACATTCAGAGAACAGTAATGTAGTAAGACTATGTTTGGTCTATGGAATATTTGCTGAATTGATAGCACCAAAGGGAGCAACCGAGCTGTGTCCGTGTCTTCTTCAGTCTTGAAAACGTTGATATACGTAACTTTTTTTTTCCCCACGTTCATGAAAGTGCCTGTAGATGAGAGACATAACACTATTTCAAACACCAGAGTCCTGCATGAAGACAGACGGGCAGACGTTATGTACATGTCCTAAGAGCTCACTCACTGACAGCCCGGAAGATTGCCAGTGTAGTCCAAAGTCAGCATTAATTGCTGGGGTTTTTCTTACTTCTTTTAACTTTAAAAAGGATCAAACACATTGTTCTGTAAGACAGATTTTGATTTTGATCTCTTCAATGTCTTCAAGAGAGGCTGGTCTACTCTCCCATAGAAGGAAACAAAACAGCTCATGTTCTGAATTACATGAAGGACTTGTGCAACTCCTCCTTTCCTGACCTGCTCCATAGACTTCGAGAAAAATGAAATTTAAACCCTGCTACCTTGCCATGCAGTTGGAGCCATCAGCCTGCCATGTTTTCAGGAATGCAACCTGACTCAGGGTAAGTCACATGGGTCAGATTGGCAGGAATTCTTTCAAGCAGATAAATCCCACCAAAAAAAAAAAAAAATCCTCTTGGCCCAAGGCCCACATGTCAGCTCTTTAATTAAAATTACAGCAAGTCAAGTAGCTGATACTTTTCCCCTCTCCTGGTAAGGGGGATGAGACATTGTTCACAAGGGTGTTCTGTCGTGCCTCGCTGATCAACCGGCAGGCCAAGTCCAGGAAAAGTTTTTCCACATTATCCGATTCTTTTGCTGATGTTTCCAGATAGTACATGTCCTGTGCTTCGGAAAATTCTGCAGCTCTTTGCTGGGAGACCTCCCTCTTATCAGCTAAATCAATCTTATTACCTGCATTGATAAAATATTTTAGAAAAGGAATTAGTTTGACTTCAAAACCAAGAGAAACTGAGGTTTAAAAGGAATAAACAAGAGTTTGTTACTGGATATATCTATGGAGAGTGGTTTTGATATGTAACTCTTAGTGCTTGCTCTCCCCTCCAAATAACAGATTCCCCAATACACTCAAGTTCATTTAATATCAGGGCATTTAATAAAATATGCCTTGTAAACATCCAAGTCAGTTTGCTTTAATTTAGCACCAGTGCATCTGTTTGCTGCTATCAACTAACATAAAAGGATTTCCATTTTAATATCTATTGAAAGTTCTCCTGTCCTTGCTCTGAGGAGCACTTAAAATGTCAATTATAGCATATGAGACACTAAATGTGATATTTATCATGTTACAAGCTTTTAAAAAAAGCCCTGCATGGAAGACAGCTTTTTTATTTCAATATTCCCATATAGGATTTGGCTGTGGAGGCTGGAAGAGGGACAAGCTTGGGGGGCGCTTATAGAGGGAGGTGAGGCAAGAAACCAACCCTCTGCTTCAGAGAGATCAGTTGAGCAGAGAGTTGATTACAGCCTCAAGCAAGTATCTGATATGATTATCCACTATTACTGGTCACTTCACTTCAAACATGATGTTTCTGCCATAAATTAATCTTACAATGAAGATAACAGACTAGGGCTTGCAATAACAGGCAGCTGTGTCCACAGACTCAGCAGGTTCAGGAGGAAACATCTCCTGGCCTCACTCCTACCAGCAATTTTGTGGGAACTAGTGGGAGGAAAAGATGGTGTTTCCACTAGCAAGCCTTGTTTCATTGCCCTCCTCTCATTTGAGACCTCCTTCTTTCCCAAAACGCAGTCTCTTGGACCCACTGCATACAATGAAGTTACCTTTCTAAACAGATTACTACTCAACACAAGCGATTTATGCGTGTCACCATATTCAGCACGTGAATTATGACTAAAATATGTTTCATATGTTGCACTGTAGATGCTGGCAATTAATGTTAACTAAAAAATTAATGTGTAGGTTTGTTAGTCATGTAATAATTATTTCTGCCCATTTGTACCCAGGCCATACTCAAGAAGTAGGAGTTTCTTGTATGGAAGCCCTACGAACCCCACAGCTCACTTGAAATACCACTGGGGCATATAAAACTCAAAAGAATTTTTTTTTTTCAAGTAACACTCTAAAACAGTCTTTACAATTACCTAAACATTTTCATTTAAACAGCAAGCTATTAAAGGTGGTATCAACACTATAGCATGAAACTTTTTGGCTTTCCCCAAGATATTTTTTCCATCGTTCTTTATATATTCTTGGACCTTTAAAAGCCAAATCCTGACTATCAAACACTGAAAACAGAGTATGGAAAAGCACAAGTAGGCAAAATAACCTTCCCCTTGCTTATAGCAGACAGATGGCCTGAGGTCTGTTTTGTCTTGAGTTGAAGCTCTACAGATTAATATAACATTCAGTTATTTATTTTTAGGTTCCCTAAAATCCATGCAAAATTAACCAGTTTTCCAGCTCTGCTCCACCTATGAATGCTATGGCCCACGCAACCATCCCCTCCTGATATGGTTCCCAGATCCCAACCATTTAAGACAAGACTGGTTGTCCCACTCCTATGGGGTACAGCAATCTGCAGTCGTCACCAGCTTGAGCAGATCCTCACATATTTGTAGAGATTTGAGCCTGGAGTCAAAAGGAGAACTCCCCTATTCTTAGCTCGGTTGGTAATTGCCCCATCCACACTTTAGTCCCTTATGGGACTACCTGGTGGGAAGCATTCCCCCTCTGCATGCAATAGCCTTAGACCTGAAACAGGACCACACCTCAGAGGTGGCCATAGCATTTTGAACACCACTATCATTGTCTTGGGGTTATTTGCAGAAGGAATGGTCCAAGCACTGGGTTTAAGGCACCAGCTGTACCCTGTGCCCTCCTACAGTTACAACTGTTTGGCAGCAAGATCCACTGCACCAGTTCAAGCATCCTGCACCACCAGTTCACACCGATGTCATATTTTCCTCCTGCTAACACCTCCACCTGCCCCTCGATATGCACAGCTCACCCCCTGCTCACAGCACCCTGCAAGGGACGACTGTCACTTACCCACTAGCACAGTTATGACCTTATTGCTGGCATACTGCTCAATTTCCCGCAGCCACTCGGGGAGGCACCGGAAGGATTCCTCACAGGTGATGTCGTAGGTCAAGATCAACGCGTTAGCACTGCGATAGTAACTCTGCGTGATGGATCGGAATCGTTCTTGTCCTGCTGTGTCCCAGATCTGCAGCTTTTTACATAAAAAGGAAGGGTGGTGAAAGGAAAAAAAAAAAAAAAGATATTTTACTTTATTTGATAGCAGCACTGTTTTGACCTAAAAAACCTCAAACAAACAAAAAAAAACCCCAAAAAAACCCCAAAACCCCACAAAAACAAAACAAAAAAACACACCACCCTCCAGGGTAAAACCAATGCTAGGAAAGCACTTAGCTCTTCTCCCTTTGGCTTCCCTTCCCCCAGCACTATTTGTTTCCATTCTTGCACTTGTGGATTGAAATGCAAGGCACAAAGTCAGCTGGCACTGCGGCCAACAGCCCCTAGAAGCTGCAGGTCTCTGCGCTTTCATACGACTTCCAGCATCTCCCTCTACTGTGGTAAGAGCTGCTGGCCTGGAGTTACAATGCAAGTGCTGGAAGAATGCCTCTCCTCTAGCTCCCGAAGCTGGTTATAGCTACTTTGAGATGATGCACTGATGAGTAGAATGCAAAGGAACGAACAAGGAGCTCAGCTAAAGGCTCTGAAGGCTGATATAGGGATTCTAACACTCTTCCTCTTTACAACTTCAGTCATCTCACTGATTGCCTTCCTAACATGTAGAGTTGGTTGACATGTCCTTAACTATACCATAGAATCACAAAATAGTTTGGGTTGGAAAGGACCTTACAGACTTGTTCCAACTCCCCTGCCATGGGTAGGGACACCTTCCACTAGACCAGGTTGCTCAAAGCCCCATCCAACCTAGGTTTGAACACTTCCAGGGGTCAGGCATCCACAACTTCTCTGGACAGCCTGTTCCCATGTCTCACCACCATCAAAGAAGTCTTGAGTGTTTGCCAAACCCTCTGGATCCAGGAAGACAACACACATTTCCCCATATAAACTAAACTTATATTGGTTTTATATTTTGACCATCAGATAGTTTTTGGTGGGCCATCAAAACCTCAGTCCTTCAAAAAGGAAGTCTAAGAACAAACACCCAAACTTAACACATTTCAAAATAAAAGAGTATTTCTCTGCAGCTTTTATTTTTTTAAAGCACCTCTTGCTGAAAGCAAATATGTGAAAGGAGGATTTCCAGCCAGAATCCTGTGTACTTTGGGAAGAAAAAGGTAAAGTGTTTCAGATTTTTTCCATATATTCAGCAGCCTGTAACAGGGAAAACCTTATTCTTGCCCTGTTCCAAAGTCAAGCTATGTCAGCCACTCACTGTAAATATGTTAGTTTGAAATGAGAGCTCCCAGTAGCAGCTTTCAGGCATAGCGTATGATTTTGAAAAAAACACATTTTTTTTTGCAGAGAAAGGAGTTTGTGGCTGGCTCACAGCCGCTGGGTTTTAATCTCTTGGCACAGTCATATTTAAATGGTTGAACCTGGCACCTGTAAAGTGACACACAAAACCATAAGTGAAATTACTTGAACATGAAAATCAGATAATGAATGAGTCCTTGTTAAAACAAACCAGCCTCCAAACTCTGGCAGATGGAAAGATACAGACAATTCTGTTATTCCTCAGCTGTTACCCAGGAAAAACATTTACTGACTGTCTACTGGTTAACTCCAGCTTATACATGTTCTGCATTTATTGAGAAGATAAAAACTTGAATATATCCTTCCATTGCTTTAATCTAACAGACACTGAAAGCAGAAGGGGACTGTGCTGGGGAGAGGGTTTCTCTCTGGTAACAGTTATGAGTCTCTCTCTGAGCTGGGTGCCCCTGATCTTACAGCCACTGATAAAACTCTTTCTGCACACAATATGCACATCTCACACTTCCCCTCATTGGTTATTTCTGCCAAATAAAATATTCGTATTTCATAGCAAACATTTTACTTGTATAATTTTTTTTTCCAAAGTAACCAAAGGACAGTGTCTGATTCAGCCTGCAGAAAATCTAGATGTTTATTTTCTTGGAGCTTCCTGCTCTCCCAATGTTTGCACACACACTTAATGTGTATAATGAGATCACAGGTCCATGTAGTGCTAATGATTCTTAGCTTTGACCAGCACGGTAGTTGCTGGTTCAAATTTGTGGACCCTCTTGGTACCAGTGTTGCACATATTTTTGGAGTTTATTAGAAAAAAGCCAGATAAAAATCCCCCTCAACTGCACAGTGCTCTCTCATCTTATTGGGCGGTGAGCTTTAGTAGCTGCTCATATATGAAAGAGCTTGCACACAGCTTTCATACCAGCAAGTCCCTCTTCACTGACTTTCTAATGACAATTTTTAAAGCTGAAAAGCATTTTTCCCCAGAAATCTCTGTTCTATTTTCAAGACTAAAAACTTTTTTGGTAAACAGCTCTGGATGCCAGCAGCAGGAGAGGCTGCCCAGTACAGAGGCAGAGTCATGGCTCAGGCACTGCTAAATGAGCTGACAGTCAGAGCAGCGCCTTGTTTGACCAAGATGTCATTTTTATTGCTCTTTGCTCTGACTCATTACCACTTTTCCTGCTCATTAAATGTTTATTCTCACAAGCACTGCTTACTCAAAAAGTTTCAGCTACAATATCACTCCCTGAAAGAAACCTGTTTGCCTTCCAGACTCCAGAAGGCTTATTCAAATACCCAAATGTATTGTGCGAAGCTCCCTCCAAAGCTTAGTCACTGGAACTGAGCTCCAGCAACTCCAATCTACTGCATTGGTGGTGTCAGAAGAGGGACTTTAAAAACTCCTTTGCCTGAAATACAGCTGGTATGTCAGTTACCGCTTACTAAGGCTCTGTGACACACAACCCTGCCCCAGGGTGATTCAGGGAGTTGCTTGGAGGGACACTTGTGCATTCATCACACATTTGCAGAGCAGGAGGGACTTCTCATTTAGCTTATAGAGCACCCCATAACCATCCTTGCCCTGAGATAGCCCATGTTGGCATGACTGCTCTCAACATTCACTTAAGGAGTTTGCACTGTCAGCCCAAGTTAGTCTTAAAACAGGATTGTATCACGGGAGCACCAAGTCAAATAGATAAATCCTTAGGGTGAGTTCATATGTACAAAAGCCAGACATCAGATATAAGTGATGTTCTTAAGGCTCCATCAGTACTTGACAGACAACAAGATGCTTGAAAAGGAGAGGTGTCTGAGGCGGATGGGATTCATCTTCCCCAGGATTGCTCTTCTCCCTCCAGTGACCAGGACAATCTTGAGACTTCTGGCGTAAGCCAGATATACAATGGGAACAATGAATTCCACCTCCAGTGCAGTGATTAAGCCATTTACCAGCTCAGATCCTCTGAGCTGCTTCACTGGAGCTGATTTTGGCTGAAAGAAGCATCTCTGCTGTCTGAGGAGCCTGGACAAACAGCATCCATGTCCTGGCCAACATTGCTACTGCATGCTAATGAGCATTGAAACCACTGGGCTGAGCACTAACACGTAATCCTCTCTGCCTCCCTGCCCGCTTCTCTGTCCCACTTGCACAGTCATGGGCTGAATATTAACTTAGCAGGTGAAGGTATTTATACCTCTTGTCCTTCACCTGCTGAAGCACGAAGGTCTCCTGGTCAAGCACCATCACTTGCCATTGGTTTACACAGCTCTTCATGCTGCTGCCTGCTGACATGATCACAGCTTTTAAAATCTGGCCTGAACTTAGGAACATACCACACAGTGTTCCTCTTAAAAACCCTCTGTGGTGAAACACTGGTTAAAAAAAGCCCAGGGCTGAAAATCTGCCTAAATCCACTGTTTCCCTCCCACCTCTGGAATTTCATGCACCCCTGAATTTCATGCTGGCAGAGTAAATCCAGGAGCAGCTCGGGGACGCTGGACATCTTGACATTAGAGGCTCAGATAACCATACTCTTCTTTCATTTCTTAGACATGAGAATATCTCTAATGAAACCTCTACTAATGAACAAAGTAGTGCCAGCCAACACCCCTGGGCTCTGGAACCCAACCATGGATCCCATTAAAGTATGAGATTAATCCCCAGTCTGCCTTGGCCCAGGCAGAGTAGCTCTTTGCCAAGTGATGCTCAGGCTCAGTTTGGGAGTTACCATAGGACAGGGACAGTTTCCCAGCAGCGGTTTGGTTGCAACCACTCTATTTTAGAGGGTGAAAGATTTAATAATATGGAGACCTGTGCCCTTTGCAGTTAAACCTGTTGGCTCAAGCACTAGTACTGTGGTCATCTCTGCTTCTCCCAAAACTCTAACTTGGCAGAAGTGGAAGATGAGCCTTTGTTGTGCAGAACCCAATAAATCCAGAAGCCTGCTCTATCCAATGACTGTCTTGGGAGCTCATAGGAGAAGACTGTCATCAAGCACATCCCAGGGAGTACAATAGATTTCTGCTTACCAGAACTGCCGTGAGCAGAGGCTGCACTGAACCACTTTTTTGTGCTTCCTCAACTCCAGCCAGGCAAAATCTTACCATCTCCTAAGCCAGAATAGAGTTTTGCAAGATCTCCCTGTTCCATTTCCCCCCTTGCAGTAGGGGAGTCTGTTGCAATCCTGATGGTAATTGTGGAGAGCTGCATACAGATTGTTAGACCCTGCATTGCCCAAGCGATGACAGACAGCCCCGCATTTCCTTAAGTGCTTCCCAGCAGTGGGAGGGCTACAGCAAGAAACCTCAACTGTGGTACTGAAACATGAATTTACACTTAAAATCATCAGGGCTCCTACCTTTACTTTTTCACCGTTTATCTCCACAGTTTTAATCATAAAGTCAACCCCAATCGTGGCTCCTTGCCCTGGTGGGAAAAGCCCCTAGAAGAAAACAAGAATTTGATTAAGCATATATCTGTAGCAAGACAAAACTCTCACTGGGTACCAATCCTGTTTCATCTTCAAAACTATTCATCCCTTGTCCCCTTCCCTGGCCACTTATTTCTGTCACATTTAGAGTGTGACATTTCCCTAGCATGAAGGTTACCACAATTCAACCCTACTGTGTTTTCCCTGTCTATACATCCCTAGTTGTGCAGCAAGTCATTGAGTTCAGAGGTGGGAAAACAGGAAAATAAAAGGAGGATACATACAGGGAAAAAAGAGAGAGGGAAAGCCCTTCTACTTCTGAGCAGTTGGAAGAGGCAGGGGAAGGGTGAGGACCTTCCATCGTACTTCCCAATGCACTGCAAGAGGTGTGAGCATCTGCGTGGGATGAAATGCCTTTTGCTTCTGAAACCTTGTGCCTTCCCTTTTCCCTCCACCACACCCCATGACAAGGATAGGCATTTCTGGCAGCTCTCAGCAACAGGGTCACATCTCTGCACAGCACTTCAGGAGCTAAGCACAGAGCCAGCCATCACTGGTGCCACAACAATAGCAAGGGACGGTGTGATGCTCGTGGTATTTGACTGCAGCACAGTCAGAAAGGAGCAACAACAAACAAAAATAAAACAATAGTTTCTTGATTTCTGGTCTACCAAGTCATGTTGATTTTGTGGCACATCCATTCCCTACAGCAGCTGCAGCATAAGTGGCCAGACATTTTTGCTGTTAACCTTTTGGGGTTGACTAGCTTTATTACCACTGGCTGTCATATGTTTTTGGAGACTTTCTAACATCACCACAGCTTTAAAACTGAAATTAACAGTGAAAGAGAAAACTGCTGACAATATCTAGTCGAGAGTGCAACCAAAACCCCCCAATTTGTGCTTTAGAGTGCATCATGCAAAGCCTTCTCTTGGCCCAGATCACACAAGCATGGTCCTTTCCCTGTTATTCTGCCACAAGAAAAGGTCCAGAAGACAATGGACTGACAGCTCAGGACCCAGATTATTTATCTACTAATGACAAACAACAGGGAGAGCTTTGTGGGCAAAGCAAAAGATGGGAAAGAGACCAGGAGATCTGCTGGTCCTTATAACCAGCCCAGACCACCACCAAAACAGGAGTGATCCCAGCAGCTTTCAGAAGGGAATTTCCACCTTCACACAGGAATGAGCTTTCTCCAACGCAAAATCCAGAACAGGGCCAAGTGCTAAAGATGTGCTGCTTGTGCCAGTGTGTCACTACAGGTGATACATGCACCAAGAGTGTGAAAACCAAAATTTTTTGGAGCTGTGATGCTGGCAGAGCCCTCAGTGCACAGCCACAGGCTCCATGCTCCATCCCAGTGCTGCCCCCATCCCAAAGTCTCACATCCAAGAGGTAGCCAGCTTTACCTGAGTGAAGCGACGGACTAGGCAGGTCTTCCCCACACCGGCGTTGCCGATTAAAACAATTTTGAAGAGGAAATCATAATCTTCCATACTCATTTACGCAGCTGCAAAACAGAGAAAGCACAATACTATGTGAACCAAGTCAGAGGGGACTGACCTTTTATTCCCACTGAACTTTATTACTCCAAACATTCAGAACAAAGGTCTCCTGGCACACACGTGGCTCCTGAGATAAGGGAGAACACTTCCCACTCTGAGCCGGGGCATCCACGTAGTCAAAAATCAGTTGCTATGAAACTTTGGTCATGTTTCAGTTCTCATGTGCTCTCACCTGGCTGCCTACAAATTAGAGATGCTGGTTTTCAGCATTCCAAGCAGTGCTCCACAAACCTGAGACACTGATTCCCAGATATCCCCAAAGGTTTGTTTTGATTTTAACTACATCAGCTCCAAAGGACAGAGTGGGCTTTGTCACATTGTCCAAGGGGATTGTGTAATTTATTTCTGCGAGGGCAATACCCAAAAACCTCACATGAGCTCCTACGAGAGGGCACTGGCTACACACAGAATAGGGCTGGAGCACACGGAAGGGCAGAATAGATGAGGAACTTAAATTAATTTTAAAACAAATGCAGCAGTGTTTGCCTTAAAGACAGAAAGAGCTCATATGCTAAAACTGTAGTGGGGAGTGGGGTAACAGTTTAGCTGAAAACATTAAAAAACATTTTTTAAAAAGAACTAATAGATGCTAATAGGAATATTACTAGTATGATAACTTTCTTTAGTTTTGTGAGGATAGATTGCTCAAATGGGAATCAAACAGAGAGGAGCTTGGGGCATATCCAGCACACCTCCAGCCCCTACGAGTCAAATCTCCTTAGCAACATCCCTGGAGACGGGCAGGGTTGCCTACATGGAAGACCTCTATACAGGGCTTCCTTAGGCCACTCAGAGTGTGGAGAGGACCAAACAGACAAATGTAGAATTTGCTGCAACTGAGCAAGTCATGAGCAATGAGCATCCTCACCTCCATCTACAGTGCACTGGAGGATGCTGCCAACACTGTGACCACAGAAGGGGTCTGTAATTTTCAAGAAAAGCAACAACAGCCAGAAGAGATTCAATTGGGAGATTTTAGGCAGACAGAAAAACCCAGAGACAAGGGAGCAGAAGGGCAGTGTCCAAACTCAATTATGTTCAGGAGGATCCAGGTACTATATGTGCCATCAAAGACCTGTCCTAAAGACTGGTCTGAGTTAATGGCATAAAAGACTTGAGTGAAGAGACAGATTTACAAACCATCAGTTCAGATACCAGATAGGGCAAAACTTAAGCATCAGTATCTAACACACCAGTACCTATAGATTAGGTAATGAATGAGGAGATAGAGCCACAGATGGTAAGTTCAAGAGAAAAATGGGGTAGGTGGGTGGTGAATGGGGAAAAAAACCCAAAAAGTATTATGGAAGTGCTATCCTCAGAAAAGCCCCAGATTGCTTAGATGATCTTTACAGAGCTGACAAAGGGAACAAATGCAGCCTGAGATAAGCCAGCTTCTCATGCTCAGCCCAAAGTCAGAGTACCCTCTCCCACTGCCTCCAAAGGTCCTTCCTGTGGAGGGTTCATTGCACACAGTGGAAGGCTCCAGCTACATATCCTGGTCCCACCAAATAGTCGTGATAGGCTTATAGTCAAACAGCCAGAGAATACAAGATAGAACTGAACCAGTCTGGATCTGCATGGCAGGGTGCATGGCAACAGCTCTCCAAGCACCAGCAAGAGTCTGACAGACAACGGACCTGAGGGCAAAAGAGGTGGAAGACTGACTCAGCTGCTTCACATTTATGTGGCCCTTGACCATTCCAACAGCCTAAAAAAAGGGTAACCACACCAATTAGTGACTAATGAGCTACATCACATCAGCAGATGGTTAGCAGGAACACACTGAGTCACTACACAGACGTGTCACTTCGCTTGGGCCAGCAAAGTGCCACCAAACAGCAGCTACTGGAGGTGTCCTGAGGATGCTCTAACGTGCAAGACCTCACAGCTCCTTCATATCTCTTAGTACAGTGAAAGAATGGGACCTTAAATAACAACCTCAAAAGAACCTTTTTTTATTTTCTGGGGCTCTTGTTTTGTGCAATTGCTTCATATCTCCATGACTGGCTTTCTCAGAGTGGGACTGGATAAAAACAGCAGTATTAAAAACATGTTGACGGTGCTCTTACAATGAAGGTTAAAATGTTAATATAAGGTTTCAAGCTTTCACACTAGCAGACACGAAAAAAAATGTGATCATTCACTAAAAGCTATTTCAAGACTAACGATACTCACTCAGCACTGCATAATTATTCCTGGGATTCTTAATACCCCAGAGGGTACGTTCCCTGCAGAAAGATTTCACTTCGACTACTTGTACCCTAAACAATCCAAAATTAAAATTTATCTTCTTAGGAAGTTTAAAAATAAACTTCCTCTGCAGATCTTTGAGCTCAGAAATGCTAAATGGCTCAAAAATACCCTAGAGTTATGTCCAATCCCCTTCATTAGGCTCTAGGACTAATCATATGTGATAATGACCCCAAACGGGAACTGAAAAATGAGCCAAGACCATAAAGCAAACCACATAACGATGAGATTAAATGTCAGAACTGAAGAGATACAAGAAATGGGGCCATGGGAAGGGAGAAAGCAAAGCAAGCAGCAAGGAAGAGTGAGAAGTGATTTGGGCAGGTGAAGTTGACCACCACTGCCCCACCACTCAAATCGGTGTTTCTCCCTCCAAGTGCACACATGCTACCCCAGCACGCTGTCAGTGCTGGACACAAACATTGCATCAGTTACATTATGCAATCCTCTCCTCCTGCACTCAAGCCTCTCAGCCAAGTGACCTTTGCTGCTGACTCTGCTCATGCTATCCTCCCTGTCCCCAGAGAAGATGTGTCTCAACCTCTGCCCCGCTCGGGAATGTGCATCTCAGCAATACAGCATACTTTGAATTATATGCTTAAAAAAAATAATATGTGGAGCACAACTTGCACAACTTTGCTATTTGGGTTTTAGAGTTTCTTACTTGGTTTTTTTTTGGTGTGGGTTTTTCCCTCCCCCCATCTTCTCTCTTCTTGTGTTCACAGGCACAGCACTCTAAACCACCACAGGGATGTGAGGCAAAGTGTTCAGGATGCAGCTGCCTTTCCCATCCTCTGGCAGAGACAAGACCCTGTAGCGAGGGCAGGGGATAGGATGCCAGTCCATGCCTCAGCCACCCCTCACCACATTAATTTAAATCATAAACAGGGCTGGCTACAGCACAGAGACATGCCATATCATGAAATGAAGCAGGAGTAGAGCCTGAGGCTGGCAGCAGGGCAGAAAATTTGGTTTCATAGCTGTTTTTCCCAGAGGCAGTTTATGCAGCTCACAACCCAACCACCTCAATGGGCTGTTCCCAACCAACTCCTGGGGAATCAGTTTTTGCAGGGTTTTATTTTATTTGTATTGTTGCTCTGCTCCACTTCATCACATGACCCCACACAAGGTCACTGAGCACAAGAGGCCAGGAAGGGTAAATTGAGGCAGGAAGACCACCTGGAAAAGTGGTCCACCACTGGGAATGCAGCTGAAGGACAGCAGGACATGTTTCAGACTTAGCTGGTTTTCAGAGAATCCTTAAGGTTGGACAAGACCTCTAAGATACAGTCCAGCACTGTCGAGTCCATCACCAAACCATTTCCCTAAGTGACATGTTCTTAACACTTCCAGGGGATGGTGACTTTACCACTTCCCTGAGCAGCCTGTTCCAGTGCTTGATCACCCTTTTAGTGAAGAAATTTTTACTGATGTCCAATCTAAATCTCCCCTGACACAATTTAAGGATGCTTCCTCTCATCCTATTGTTAATTATTTGGGAAAAGAGATGGACCTCCACTTTGCTACTACCTCCTTTCAGATAGTTGTGAAGAGGAGGAAGGTCCCCCTGAGCTTCCTTTTCTCCAGGCTAAACACCCTGAGCTCCCTCAGCCGCTCCTCATAGGACTTGTGCTCTAGACCCTTCACCAGCTCCACTGCCCTTCTCAGGACATGCTCCAGCATCTCAATGTTTCTTCATTTGAGCAAGACAGTGCAATAAATGCTCTTGGTATTTTTCAATTATTAATTTCAATTCAACAAAAAGACGGGTGAGATCCACCCAAATCAAAAGCACAGAGGATGGCAGCTTTCACCTCTCCTCCTCCTCAACCAAGCAAGCCCCAGCTCCCATGGAGACACCTGAGAAAGGAATACAGAAGTCATGGGCTGCTTTCCCCAGGCACCAGTCCCTCCCACTTTTTCCAGTGTTTCTTGCTAGAAACTCTCCCATAGCCTGGTTAGCAGAACTTAGTCCTGTTTCACCCTGCTGTAGCCTTTTCACTGTCTGTAAATGTGGGACAGCAGTACGTTTGGGGGAGAAGAAAGACACACTCCCTCCTGCTTTTTATGTTCATCATACACCTGCAGTGCAAGGAGTTTATCCACAGCAAACATATGCTTCAGGGAATGAGATATCCAGGTATGTCTCAGCTTATTCCCTTATGTGATGTCCTCTATGCATTTGCTGATCCACTTCCATTTACTTGGCAGTGTGTATCATCTGAACCAAGGATTTTCTTTTTGCAGTGTTTTTTTACCTATTAGTTTGGATGGTCACAGAGGGTCCCTCTTCACCCCCAACCTGCTTTGATGATGCCTTGCTCAGCCTCTTTGTCTACCAAGTAAATGGCAGAAACACAATGCAAAGGTTCAAATACTACCTGGAGGCATGAATGACTTTGGAGTGATCAAATTCTCCTTCAAGTGGATGAAATCTTTACCCTGCCTGTCCCTCATCAGCTTTACATCAGTACCAGTATTTCCACAAACAACCACCAAGTATTAGTGAGGTTTTCAGCTGATGAAGAAATCTCTGGCACTTTTTTCTTGACTCCTTTGCTCAAGGAAGATTTCCACCTCTAGGCATAATCAGAGCAGGGTCTATAATGATGATTTTACCCCAATTATTTTTGCTTATGGAGCCAGAGCTAGAGTGGAATACTTCAAAGGAACAAACCTTTCTCAGTCAACC